GGGGGAACAGCAGAAGGCAGAGACATTTTCCTGCCCAAATTGAGAAAAGGTTTCTCCTTTTCCTCCTAGGCAGGTATGGCCCAATAATAGCATGTGGAATCCCTGACCTCTGACACAATGTCCAGGGAACTCCCACCCAGGGGCCATACTCACTGCAAACTCAGTTAGACATGCAGGGGAGGAGGAGAGTCCCTCAGAAGAGAGAAGAATTCCTAATTAAGATATATCGGGAAACACACTTTGTTCTCTAAAATCTGTACTTGAAATCCCATGAGTCATAAGAGACGTTCTCAGATTTAGATAAGGATTATCTCATTTTCAATTCCCTCCTCCTCAAATTGTCACTCAGTTCTAAGTCATACTGATTAATCAAGTCTAAGTTTTCACTTAAGGATATTATTATATTTTCCTAAAATTTATTTAAGAGCAAAAATACTGTCTATTTACATAGTGTCAAACCAGTAGAGTGCTGTGAATTTTTGAACCTATCAATCCTTTTCTAGATTTTAAGGTCAAACAAAAAGTTGACCTGGACAGAGGAAAGTTTTTTTAGCTTTCTTTATTTAAGGAAGCGAATGAAGCATCAATATATTACCTCAGAATAAGCACAAAAGAATGTTTGGTATATCTGAAACTTGCATTAAAAGCTGGCCACATCCTAGTGCCACACGTTTATATGCTAGTGAGCATATAAATAGGGTACCCTCTCTGGAAACAATTTGGCTTCAGTGCGTTAAAAACAAACAACTGTCCGTCAAATCTACTCTGATCCATGACTGCCCCATGTGTGTCAGACTAGAACTTCTCTCCACAGAACTTTCAATGGTTGATTTTTATTGTAATTAGATCACCAGGGCTTTCATCAATGGTGCCGCTAAGTGGACTTGAACCTCCAACCTTTTGATTAGCAGCTGAGAGCACTTAGTGACTCCGCATCAGTTTATACATATATGAAAAAATGTATAGCCTTTGGCCTAATACTTAGATTTTAGAGATCTAGTTGGAGAAAATAAACAAGAAAATATTGTTCCAGTCATTTTTATATAATAAAGATACCTAAAACAACTTAATTCCACCCTAATAGTGAAATAATTAAACTAACGGGCCATCTGCCTGGTTGTATACCCCAAATCTCATACATGCTTAGTTTTCCATAACCATGTCATGAATTTATGAGTGAGTGAAATGTAATGCAACTATGAAAATGTTTTCAAAGAGTATTTAATGTCAAGTGGTAAACTCAGACCCATGGTATACCATTAAATGAAAACAGCAAAATATAAAACTATATATATA